TGACCCCTCGGACAGGTACAGTGAACTTTGCTGCACTGCAAAATTATGATTGTAATTGTGCGTGTGCACAACCACCTCAGGACCTGAACGATAGCAGAGCCACTTATTGGCCTGCAAAATGAGCTGTTATCCTTCTTCTAGGTCGTCCTCAATCTATCAATCTTCAAACTACTTTAGGGATATTAAAAAATAGTACATTGTTGTTCACTGTGGATAAATAATCTTTTGAGTCACAACCGATTCATTATGACCTGCTGATATCCATCTTCCAGGAAGCCCGCTGACGTGCAGTGGAAATTCACAGAGGAGGGGGAGAGAGTCCGAGTGTCGCTCAGGACGGGTCGAATCATCCCGAAACCTGTTGTGCAGCGTCGAGATGGAATTGTGCAAGAGCAGTGGAAAGGTGTGTGTGTGTCTCTTTATTTTAGGGGGATTGTTTTCATTAACAAGTTTATTCCATGTGTAGCTAAAAGTCAACCCATAAAACATTTTCCACCATCTTCTGACTTCTAAAAATCCGTGTATGGGTGACTGAGTATAGTTGGACTGGTATCAGGTGGAAGAAACACATTTCATTCTTAAGTGAAAGACACAGGGAAAGTGTAAAAGATGCCAAACAGCCTCCCTCTCCATTTTAAATGAACTACTTGTCTCCCAACCGAACGTCCGAAGCCACTCGAAGGCAGAGTGAACTCGAAAGTTTTAACTTTTTTATTTTTTCTGCTTCTCAAGTTGTACGTATGTTTGCATGCGACTGTCTCTCTGCTATTACAGATGGACCGAAAGACACCAGTCCAGAAGACACTCTAGCAAAAACCTATGTACCGTCTCTAAAAACCCTGGAAGAGGAAGTGATGGAGACGCTGGGCATCCAGGAGAACAGAAGACACAGGCGCTCCTACTGGTACTGACCAGACAAATCAGAGACACTCGGTTTTCACAAGGACTCTGAAGTCACCATGTTTTGGTGAGCGTGTTAAAAAGAGACCGACGATGACATGTGTGGCACATGGATGGTAAAACACTGGTGCATCATGCATATTACTACCAAGGAAACGACAGCTTTGTAAACATATGAGGAGGTGAAACTGACTTTCCGCCTAAATGTCCCCTGATTAGTTTCAATCGATCTGTTAACTTAATATTTGAGTTTGAATTAACTTCTTCATGTTGTCATTGTGAATAAATGACACACGTGAACTAATTCAATGTTTCTGTAAATTTGCGATTCACTCAATGATCCACTAGAGGAACTTGATCTCCTCAAACAACACTAGTATTAAATACATTTCCAAACTTAAGGGGTTTGCTTTGTCTGCGTTAAGAAGCCAACGTTTGGGAAGAGAAAAGTAAGTAAGCTTGTAGTAGAACAGCAGTGACCACAGAAATCAGCAGCCCTTGAAACCATGCATCACTTGACATTCAGTGTTTCATGATGATTCATACCCACTGTACAGCCTAAAACATTGGAAAGTTAACCGAATCTTTGTATTGGCCGGTTTAATAGTGGTTGCAGCCTGTTTGGATCATTCAAAAGGCTGAAAATAGTCATATTATTTTACAGAAGCCCAGACAAACGGCTCTCCAAAACTATACAAGTGAGTCTCTCTTTCCAACTCGTCTGGGAAACTGTGCAGGAGGAAATTGCCTGGGAGGAGACTACACAGACTTGGTAACTTCAACAAAAGTCCTCACTCACCTCGTCTGTCTTTTTATACACTGCCGCTGTACGGTATTCCTCTGACGTGTCCCCGCTTTTTGCAGCAGTTTGATCTTACAGGGGAAGGGATTTGGTCATGAATTTATGATTTAAGGTCATCTGTACGAAAAGTGGTCAAAGGTCTCCTGCATACACACAACACAGTGACAATGTTACATTTAAGAACAGTCAAAGAAGCACTTATATTATTGAAATTGATTAGAGTCAAGTGATCAATATGTCCTGGAAGAGTGGGGATGGGTTTGAAACATTTAGGACCACATGTAGGGAGATAAAATGTACTGAAAATATAAATTGAGAATGACATATTTTTCTAAACTGAAATGTTTGACTCAAATTAAATTAATGAAATAATTTTAAATGTGGTCAAATGAATTTAAAATAGCCCTTTAGTACGTATAAATGTCCCGTTTTATCTGCATCTATCCAAAGGGAAGTCCAGGCTTCTTCCAGCTCGCCTCCGCTGCACATTTATCATGTGATTTATGAGGGAGGTGGTGAAATATGTCCCCCCCAACCCCACTCCTGCTGGTTTACCACCAAAGAACCGCCCCATGCCAGATCCCCAGCTGTAGAACTAACTTGACTGCATTGGCAGACAGTATCACAAAAAAAAAAACGATGTGTCATAAATAATATAAGAGCGTTGAAGTACGGTGGCTCCTCATACACTATTTTCTGGTCAGCCGAGTGGCATCATGCAGAAGGTATGGCAAGTCCTTGGTTTGGCTGGTGAGCGGATGAGGGCAGCAGTTTCTCACCAGACTGCTCCGTCCCGAACCGGTTTACCTCTGCACACGTTGCGTCCAAGAGGGAATAAAAGCAGCGCAGTCAGCGGAAAACACAGTTTTGAGGTTTTGCTTTTATGGTAGGAAAAATGATTCAAAGGCTGGCCGTTTTTTTTCCCCTCATTGCATCGGTGTGGCATGGATTTCGGTCTGGGATTACAGCAAGGGGAAGTGCAACGTTAAAGTGAAGCGGGACCTTTTCAATGCGTGTATTACTCACACGAAACACTTGCGGCCGTCTTAACGTGTGCAGCGGGGAATGAGCTTTGAGGCTGCCCGGCTTGTCGTTTAAAGTGACAGCGACTCTGGAAACCCAGTTGAATGAAACGACACAAAGTGACTCAAGCAGAATTAAGAAAACATAAAAAGAAACAGTATTTTAGCTGAGCCACATTTGCTTCTCAGCCACGTAAACTAATGAATCCCACCTGGTGGTTTAGGTTGCACGTGTATGATTCACTGACCAGTCCAATCACAGTACCCTCAGCTGTTTGCACGCAGCGGCTCTTAATTACATCTCTTTATATGATAAGGGGTTCTAAATTATTACCACAATGGTGTCAGAAGTTCACCCCGGCCTGATTAAAGGCATTACGACGTCCTAGCAGAGGAACTCGCTCCGGAACATCTGAAGACACTTTAGAACGTTCCTCTTGACTGACTTGATCATCTAAGCTCAGCTAAAATATTATAATAGTGTCTAATTATAGACGGGTTGTTTGAAAACTGCTGGAGAATGCAAGGGTAGCTTGTGTGCAGGTCTGAGAGGCGGCTTATCTCACAACCAGGAGCTCAAAACCCCACTCTAACCATTCCTCAGACTGTTTTCCACCCATACTCCTGTACTATTTAGTACTTTGGGAAATGTATCTCAATAAACAGTTGGCCGAATTAATTTTTCCAAAAATACCACGATGTGACTGCATCTGGATGCATTTTTTCAGTTTTCTCGTTATTCTGACTCCCAATTCTCTGAGCAATGGATATTTGTAAAAGACGCCGTGACACGCGTTCGCCTTCGGAAACAACCGTCACGTCGCGTCTAACGTGCAAACTTTCTGTTACTGGCATTTCCCAGATTGGACCCGCTGGTCAGACGTGACCGCAGCCATCTCATCAGATATTTAGTACCTGCCCTGGAGCTTTCTTACTCATAGCAAGTTCTTCATTAGCAAGCGCTCCTCTCAAATGTCCCACTCTAGAGTCAGGTCAAAGGTCAGATGCCTGGAACAGCTTTGAGGAAACCCTCCCCTGGATTGACTCTTTCTATCACTGAAGTTCCTCTTCTAAGGGAGGTCCTTTGTTTTCACGATACCACTCTTGCTGACAAATGGCAGCAGAGCGGATGACGTCTCGCTGTGAGCATAACTGCTGACTGGACTGGACTCAGTCTGGGTCACTGTGACACAGACCATGGAGCCCGTCTCTGATCTCTGAACTTTTACATTTCCTTCCCAGACATTCCTCCTGGTATGTGGGTGTCAGATTCCTCAGGTGTGAAGCACCATCCGCTGCTGTCGACTCGCAGGACGACCATTACAAAGCACCATTCACCCAATCGGAGGGCATTTGGTACGCGCTTACCTTGGCGTTATTCGTCTTGTCCCTGTTATACACAGCAATATGGCACAGTCAGCCAAAGAGATCCCTGAACATACGCTCCACGTATGACTCACAATGTGCTATGAATCTTCCATGTTACGCTAACAGAGATGAGACTCTGGTCGGCGCTGCACAGCTGTATCTCCACTGATGACAGCAACACATCTGGATGATTTAAAAAAAACAATTTATGAACATTTGAAAACGATGACCCCGTCTCGCCCTCTCTGTGAAACCAGGCTTTTTGTGCTGCACTCATCTGTTAACCACTTAGCTGTGTGTGTTACTGTGTTCAATATGTACACTTGAAAATGATGCACAGAGATAAAGCGTGACGTTATCCATGGAGCATATTTTGATGCTGTATAAATCTTGTGACTTTGCCGGACGTACTGCGCTGAGTTTATGGGTCCAAAACGAAATGCTAGTTTCAACTACAGCCTGCAGATAGAAGACGATGACTGACGGACTGCTGCTGTCTGACTGTTCCTCCGCAGGATGCTGCAAAGTGCTGATGACACTTGCGAAGTTCATCACGGTGGCTTAAGAATACCAGCAGTCTATTAGACGGCCATGGAGCAGGGGATACTGTCCACTCCATCACCCTCCCTTCCCGGACAGGTGCCTGCAATACAAACCCGCAGTAGCAGCAGAATCAGCAGCTCCGTATTGCTGCTGCGCTGACTGCAAAGAAAATCTATAAAAAAAGAATACAGTCTTTCTCCTCACTTTCAAATAGCCTATAACATCGGCTGTTTTTAAACGTCACCCCTCCCAATCCCCCTCTGACAGGCAGGCGTCATCTCCATCCTCCCGATCGTTAGGGTAAAAAACAAAAAAAAGTGGGCAGTTCTGGATTTCATATGTGGCTTCACTTTCTCTCAACTCCCTCCCCTCCAGTCTCCTGCCGAGCATCGGACGCGTTGGGACAGCAGTCCCAGCTCCCCTCGTCTCTGCGCAGAGCCGCTCTCCTCCTGACAGCACAGTCGCACTGCAGCACAGCTGAGCGGAGTAGACGGAAAATACTTTTCACAGGCGAGAAGTCCCACATCCTGCCTCAGCTGAAATGCTGCTGAAAAGAAGCCGGTAGGTTTATTTCATTTATTTTTTTTGTGCGTGTGTTTGGCCCTCACTCTACGCAGTCGATGCGGTAAGAGTTCTTTTAAATTGAATGTCATGTGAAAGTATAGTGTAATTTAAGAAAATGACTCTTTGCCAGTGAACTGTAGCCGCTGTCCTCAGAGGAAGTCCTGAAATTATGACCAGCGGTTCATTTTCACGTCATTTTCTGCAACTGACGCACTTAGTTAATCACAACTTTCATCGATTCACTTTGTGCTTTTTTGTTTTTCTTTATTTCGCACATCATGAACCCCCTCCACCGTGTTTTAGAAGAGAATATATCACTCATGCTCATTGTTAGTTACCATGACTTTGAAGCGTAGTATTGCTTTTTTACAAAGGTGAGTGAAGGAAAAACGGACAGAATCTACTTCTTCCCTCTGCATTCTTAAGGAGCACCAACATTGCAGCTCTAATTTGTTTTGTTTTAATGCCATTTCCCCTGCCAGCCAAGCATGAATGCTGCTGAACCTCTGAAAGGTTGCTTCAGTGCCCCAAAGCAGACACAAGAAGACAGCTGTTTGTCTTGAGTGCATATCTTCTGTTCACTGTTTCCACCTCAGGGTGCAGGTATATTCCACTAATGGGGAGGTAGAGATATATCCAAACAGGGAAAGCTGACTGAAGGGTTCTCTCTCCTTCACATGATGGTCCAGTGGCTCTCATATGAGCGAGTGGAGCAAGTCAAACTCTCGCTCCGATACCATTCTCTTTCTCAAATTTTCTTCTTAAGTATCTAGTTGAATGTTGATGATGATGCACAACATTGTGTAGTTAATGGAAATGCTCCGTAGTGTCACTTTAGTGTTGTCCCTTACCTAAAAGTACATGTCTGAAGAGAAGATTTCCTACTATTTTATGAATGCTCTTGCACTAGATATTCTATCAATTAGACGTGAGCGCCCGTGTTGCATAGCAGCCGGGACAAGAAGCCCGCTGCTGCAGGTAGCAGGTCACCAAACAGTTAGTATGGATGAAGTAGTTACCGGAGGATGACAACTGGCTGTCATAGGAATCATTTATATTTGCTCACACCATCTTCAATATTTCGAATGTTTAAAAAAATTCTGTGCGGAATTACACTGAACGTGTATAACTCAATAACAAGTCTAAAAAGGTCATTATTATGTATTTTATGATGCATGTATGAAGTAAAAAATTCCACAATACAAACTGGAGTCTGGTCATTTGGCTCCTTATGAATAGTCAGCTAATCATCCTAGAATATAGGCTGTAGTAGTCAACCAGCTAATGAGTGCCACAGCAGCCATGTTTGGATCACTTGGCACAATGAAGCAGATTTTGAATTATTGAATTTTGTTTTTGAAATAATTGACCTCAAATCAATGAGTTCTTGATTGAGCAGTTTGGCACTAAATTCATTTGACTCTACGTATGGTTTAGCATGGTTTATAATGAGGTTGCCAAGCACGGTCTGTGGTCAGTCCCCGCCAAGTTTGCTGAGTCAGGCCTGAGATTGGTCGTTTGTTTGATCCCTCGACTCGTTCCCAGGCAAGTTGGGTGGCGAATCGTCTACTGGGTGGCTTTACCAAATTGCTCATCCTGTTGGGAGACAGGCAGCGCGTTTATTGGAGATGTCTGCACGGTTCAGGATGTGGGAAGGAGATCAACTCATCGGATGTGTGGAGGTGTTACATTTGAGGGTGCAGAGAGTCGGAGGAGGGGTGTTGAGTGAATAGACTGTGTGAGGGAAGATTGCTTTGCTCTGGAGTACTCAGTGTTCATCGCTGAGATGACTAATAATACTCAAATACAAATAAAGGGAAAAATCAAATCATCCAAGTGTTCCAAATGGGACGTTAGCCTGGCCACGTCTGAAAACCTTTCATGTTAGATTCAAAGTGTTCTACTAAGGAATACCAGTGAATAAAGTTGAGTTGAGTAGAGCCGACTGTCACAATATAAATGTGTCATCAAATTAACTACACTCACTACAGTTTGGAAAAGACCAAACTTAAAAAATGTGCCTATTTGAAGAAACCTTCAGTTCAATTTATTTAGCACTTAATTCCCATGTATCTTCATTTTGAACTCTGTACCATGTAATGACTTCTTGATGAGTTCTTATTGATCTTTTTAGAATGACATGTGGTAGACCAACGTATTCCACAGTGGACTTCTAAAACTTGATCGCCTCACATTTTAGGAAATCCCTACTTTATTTAATCAGAAACTCATCGCTGCCAAAGCCCGTCCCGACTCGCACATCGGCCTCTGTATATTTGACCTGACCAAACTGCGATTAGGAGGTATTTTCCTGCTTGTTGGCAGACCTTGATGCAGACGGGCTACTGCAGATGCCACCCATGAGACGTACTGAGAAACGTCTCAGCATCTGACTTCATGCTCTTTAGTCATTGTAATTCATTTCGATGAAAATGTTAAAGGGATAATATGGAGGTTAATGTGGTCTTGACCCATTTCTTCTTCTGCTTAATTATATGTTTCTGCAGGAGGAGGAGACGTCATTAGTTCTGCTGGTGGATAATTCTTTGGCTGCAGTTTGTAGACCTTTTAGCTTGACTTGTCTTCATTGTTACTCTCGTGACAAAGAGCCGAACTGCAGAGTGCAGTCGAGACCAAAGACATTATGATCTAAATAAAAAAAAGATCTAAAAAATGATCAGCAGCAGAATTCTCTCTCTGTCATCAGTTCGAATGCACAAACACACTCTCACTGCAGTGACACCCATCGCAAACAGTGTGCAGTGTCTCAATGTGGCCTTTGATACAAAGCCTGCTCCACAACGGTTCGAAACTCCCATTTACATCCCTGAAAAGAAGCGAGAGAAAGGAGGGAGAAAAAGCTAGCATGTGTGCCAGTGCCCCGTCCTTTAATTTCCCCCCCCGGAGCCTTTTGTGAGGGAGTCGGCCTGAAGTGAAAGCACAGTGCGCAGCTGCCCCGCCGGCCCACTGCTCGCTTTTTGTGCGATGTTTTCTCATCAAGAATACTAATGGTGATATCAGCTCCGTGGAGTCCACCCAGCTGGCTGAGGAAACAGACAACAATTATTCTGCCACCTAAGAAGGCCATTTAATGTGACACAAGTTAGCGAGCTGTGTTTGTGCTTGATATACCGATGCAGAAACACATATCAATGCGTGTTTAGATTTTGGCTCACTTGGCTGAGTAGTAATGACATTTTCTCCATTTACTAGTATATTCTCCTTCAATGTATGTCGACTATGTGATCTCTCTCTCTAACACACACTTTTCTCTTTTCAGCATTTGTCATTTAGTAGACTATAGAAGCTTTACTTTATGAGGCAAACAACCTGGGTCTTTTTAAGAGTTAAGGAGGTTGTCCGTCCAAAATAAAAGAGGAATAAATCATGTACATGTTAAAGCATAATGATACAATAATATAATGACACATCTCTGACAGTTACTCAATGCACGTTGTTGTCTTTTGTCTCAAATTTGGAAAATACCTCTTACAATTTCTTTTAGTTAATTGATCAAAGTGAAATTAAAAGAGCTTTTATTAAATAATGAATGAACATTTGCAGCTTCAGGAGGTTGTGTGAGGAAACCGGGTACCCTGCCATGCCTGCTGGGTTAATAACAGGGCCCGGCCGGTGACGGAGCGCTGGCAGGATGCCGCTGGGCTGAAACGCTGTGTCATTAGCTCCCGGAGGTGATGAATAGCCTGTGGTCAGGAGCCTGTGCTCCCGGCTTCCCTCTAAAAACCACAGAATTTGCTCTTTTATCCTTCGTAGTTGGGCTTTGAGATACAAGATATTGTTGTACGTGTTTCATACAGGTTCATATATGTCATTTTCTTCACATAATAAACAAACTCCGTTGCTATTTTCTAATTTATGCCGGGATAAAACAGTCTAACCTTAATGAAGGTTATGGTTTTCAGTTTTTGTGGGAAGGATTTATGAGAGTTGCCGATTCAACCGTGGATTCACTTTGGAGGCTTCACTGTTTTGTGGCATTACTCTTGAGAGGTATTTTTGTTATTACTTCACAAGATGTGTCAGTTAAGTCTATTTTTTAGGGTGCCTTTATATCGTCTGTCCGTCAAGAAAAATTCATAGAAGTTAGACTAATTTTGGGCATTTCTTCTTATTTTTAATTTTGATAAATGAACATAATCCCTGTCAAATATACTAAAATAGAAAACATGTTTGACCTCAGATCGAGAGGTTAAGTCAAATATAGAACTCCTTTTAAGATAATACGAATGCTGGCAAACTCTGTTTTACCTCAACAACTATTCGATGGATTGCCATAACATTTTTTTACAGACATAGATGTTTCTCTGAGTGTTAGCATTTATCTCAAATCAGTGTTGTACCTACTTATCTCATGTATCTGCTAGTATGACTCTACACTTGATTTAATTATATCTTCTCCTAAAGGAAGATTTTGGGTTGAGCCTATCATTTTCGCTCCTAAAATAACCACGACAACCAAATCCCTCTGCTTTATGGCAAAGCTAATCCTTGCATGTAATGTGTCTGTATTGGTACACTTTATCAATAAATAAACAGCATTACAATTACAACCTTGAATCTGTCACTTCACTTGCCTGCATATCAATACGTGTGAAGTACACCCACACTAGTTGCTCCTGCGATAGAAATTGCACAAAGATGTGAAGCGTGTGACCTTTTATCATTAGGATACATCATTCTGGGGAGATCAGTGGAGTGAATCAACACAGAATATGACTTCCAGTATATAATTGCTCTGACTATTAAAGGTTAAATGTTTGTGAAATTGGAAACTGGTTAGGAGAAAATAACATTTGAGTCGCTTCTTTTGCTGCGTTTACAATAGCAACACTTTATTGATCTTTATGTGTGTCAAATGATACTTGTGATAATAATATCATCCTGTGTTTCCCTTTATCTCAATAGACATGTCCAAATACTTCCACTTCTCATTGCGGTCTGCCGCCTCACTCTGGCCTTCCCCACCCAAACCTCATCAGCATTCGGTATGTCCGCATTTTCCCATTACCTCTTACTGTCAGCGTTTATGCAAATTGCGCTATAAGCAAAGAACAAGAAGGTGCATTTAAAAGTAAGATCGCCATTCTAACGTGCCACTCTTTTCTGCTCGCTTTCTATCTTTTTTTGTTTTTGTTTTTGCAGATGATGTCCGTCAGCTCCAGGTGAAAATCCCGCACTCGGGTCCTGTTTCCGCCCCGCTCGGCAGCTCCGTCTCCATCCCATGCTTGGTCTACCGGTCCTCTTCCTCCCCCGTTGCACCGCGGGTCAAGTGGACCGTGGTGTCCGATGGTGTGGAGACACAAATCCTGGTGGCGCGGGGTGAAAGAGTGAAGGTCAACGAGGCCTACCGAGACCGCGCCGCATGGCTCAACTACACGTCCTCCCCCGATGATTTGTCGCTGTGGTTGGGGGACCTGCGCTCCAGTGACTCGGGCCACTACCGCTGTGAGGTGCAGCAGGGCCTAGAGGACGCCAGTGACCTCGTACAGCTCAAGGTCAAAGGTAACTAAGTGAAACACATGGATCCATTGGGATGAATAATAAGGTGTACGGGATACAACATGTAATGGAGATAATGGGATCTGCTTTGATTGAAATCTTCTTATTACAAAGCAGTTTCATTACATTTGTATAATCGTCCCCATTGTACATTTACCGGTAATACAATATTGGTAAAGGAGCATTTTGTATAGTTTGAATTGAGATGTGTGCTTATTTGTGTGTGTTTAGGTGTTGTATTCCACTACAGGGATGCGCTGGGTCGCTACGCGTTTTCCTTCCATCGCGCGCAGAGTGCTTGTGAGGCCATCGGGGCACAAATTGCGACTCCTGACCAGCTGCTGGCGGCTTATTACGATGGCTACGAGCAGTGTGATGCAGGCTGGCTGGCAGACCAGTCTGTCAGGTATCTCATCGACTCTCAGCTCAAACCTGTGCTTTGCCGTGATGCCTGCGCCGCTTTGTTTAATGAAAAACATTCTAAGCCTTTCATTCACTTTCACCCAAAATTCAACATGAATTATCCTTTGTGTACATGTAAAGTATACAGGATCTCATCTAGAATTTAAATCCCAGTTTACAAAGTTTAAGGGGTAACGTTTTCGTGACTTCTGGCAGGTACCCAATCCAAGTGCCCCGTGAAGGTTGTTATGGAGACATGGATGGCCAACCAGGCGTCAGAAACTATGGGACAATGGATCAAGAGGATCTTTATGATGTTTACTGTTATGTCGAGGAAACTGACGGTATAATTAAGATACATATTTCTATGACTAAATCAGACATTCTAGATTTCTAGGCCAATTCAGTTTCTAGAATGGATCGGACGGTATTTATTTAAACAGTGTAAGTAATGTCTACATGTCAAATATTTTGTGTTTTTAGGAGAGGTCTTCCATGACTCCGTTCCGCAGCAGTTGTCATTCGATGAAGCGCAGTCTTACTGCAGAGCAGCTGGAGCAGAGTTAGCTACAACAGCACAGCTTTACTTGGCGTGGAGTGAAGGTCTGGACCGTTGCAGTCCTGGCTGGCTGTCCGATGGCAGCGTGCGCTACCCCATCATAGCTCCTAGAGAGCGCTGCGGAGGGCCTCAACCGGGCGTCAAAGCCCTCTACCGCTTCAGCAACCAAACTGGCTTCCCACATCCATCCAGTCTTCATGACGTGTATTGTTTCAGACGTGAGTATTGAAATTGGATAAGCATGCAAAAAACAGAGATACATGTAAATGTTAGGTATTTACAATGTATGTTTCATTTTAGCTTTAACAGATGACAGATCAAAGAATTAAGTATATTTCTCTAATCCCGTTTTGAATCACTAATCTATTCTCTACAGATAATAGAAGTAGTCCCACCGACTTTCCCATGGACAATGGGTCCACAGGGCAGGAGGACATTAGACAAGATGTTGTTATTCTCATGGAAACCGATCAAGAGCTGCAAATAAACCAACATGTAGAACAGGGGGAGCTCAAAGCTCAACAGGTGCTTGAATCCTTTCCCCTTTTCTCCTCAAAGGAAAACCTGGTAGACATGCACCCAACAGTTGTATCAGACACAACAAGGTCCCTTATAAACACCACACCTACCTTGGAACTCCTCCATGCAATGAATGAAACGTCATCTCCTACTGAAGATAGCTCCCCACATCATACAGCCCTGATGAACACCACTTACAGCACCACAGAGACCTACGATTCACTAGATAACGTGTCATCACTGCCCAGTGTTTACAATGAGACAGATTCCCACTCCAACTTCACCTTTCACCAATCTGAGCCTGAGGATTTGCCCCAAATGCAAGAGACCAACGTGGATTTTAACCGATCGCAAGCCGATTATCAGCCAGACGGTAATCATACTCAAGAGGTGAGTCTCTGGGAGGTGACCTCTATGACCCTTGACCCCAATGTTGAGGTGAAGCTGGAGGAGGAAACAGTAGAAAATCCGGTGCAGGTGTTTCTCTCAACTCAGGCCTCAAAAGAAGAAGAACTTGTTACACAGCCACCACAAACGACTAAATCTACCGTCACGGAGCTAACCTCATTGTGGGCTCGTCTGGATGGATCTGGAGATGTTTCTCAAGGTTTGTTTAGTATATACATTTGAGTTTTTCTTACAGAAGAACATGCATACATATATTGGATGAACCGTTTAACATTTTGGAAAATACACTTATTTATACTCTTAAGAAGTGGATGAGAAGATTAACATTTCTTATCCTATATCTCATTTTTGGTGAGCATGAGGTTCATCAGTGGACAGATTAGTTTAACATAAAAACAACAGGCTGGCAGCCAGGCATCGTTTTTTGGGCAGGTAAAAAAAAGGGTATTTCCCAAAATGAACAAACTCTTCCCTTAATAGTACTTACCGCACTAAAAATGGGTTGTGCTCTTTTCTAGAACGTGACCTTGAGATGGAGGCAGTCAGCTTAATCCACGCATCAGATTCTTCTACTTCCGGCTTCACTGCTCCTGCATCACCTTCTAGTTCAGCTGGCAGTGCTTCTATTGAGCCTCGAACAGCATTCTCTGAATCGACCCTTCCCCCTGATCCCACCACAGTGGGCTTGGATATCTTCTCCACGGCATCACACTTGTGGGAGTCCCCCATCTCTACACAGGAGGGAAGTTCAAGCTTAGAAATTGAAGACACAGTTACTTTGGAAAGCAAAGAAAAACAGCCGCACCCTACAATGTCTGAAGACAACCTCGTTTCTGCAGTAAGTTTAGTTACCACTGAGTCTCCAGAGGGGTCGAACGCCTCTCTGTTGCCTACTGATTCCTTCAAAGCACGATATCAAACATCAGGTTACAGAGTGTATTTAGACAGTAAGACCACTGGGTATGAAGAGGCAAGTGGACATGAACTTGCTACAGTTACTGCGATCCTTGGTGAAGACATTACACTTGCTCCAACCAATGAAGAGGACGTCAATGCTACACTTGAAGAAGAAATGAAAGTTTCCCCAACTCTTGAAGAGGAAATCTATTTGGCCCCTGCTTTTGCCCTTGAAGAAGAAGCTAAATCCTCTCCAACCCCTGAAAAAGAAGCTGACATTTCTGCAGGCCTTATAAAAGAAGTTAACGTCTCCCAAACCCTTGAAGAAAACAACAACACTGTTCCAACTCTTGGAGAAGAAGCTAGTGTTGCCCCAACCCTCAAGGAAGGAGAGAGCTCTGCCCCAAACCTTGAAGAAGAACCTAGTTTTGCCCCAACCCTTGAAAAGGAAGCTTTTATTGCCCCAACCCTCAAGGAAGGAGAGAGCTCTGCCCCAACCCTTGATGTAGAAGCTAACGTTGCCCCAAACCTTGAAGAAGTACCTAGTTTTGCCCCAACCCTTGACGAGGAAACTTTTGTTGCCCCAACCCTCAAGGAAGGAGAGAGCTCTGCCCCAACCCTTGAAGTAGAAGCTAACGTTGCCCCAAACATTGAAGAAGAACCTAGTTTTGCCCCAACCCTTGAAGAGAAAGCTTTTGTTTCCCCAACCCTCAAGGAAGGAGAGAGCTCTGCCCCAACCCTTAAAGTAGAAGCCTTTGTTGCCCCAACCCTTGAAGAGGACGCTTTTGTTGCCCCAACCCTTGAAGCAGAAGCTAATGTTGCCCCAACCCTCAAGGAACAAGAGAGCTCTGCCCCAACCCTTAAAACAGAAGCTAAAGAAAACAACAACACTGTTCCAACTCATGGAGACGAAGCTAGTGTTGCCTCAATCCTTGAAGAAGAAGCTAATGTTGCCCCATCCCTCAAGGAAGAGGAGACCTCTACCCCAACCCTTGAAGAAGAAGCTAATGTTGCCCCATCCCTCAAGGAAGAGGAGACCTCTACCCCAACCCTTGAAGAAGAAGCTAATGTTGCCCCATCCCTCAAGGAAGAGGAGACCTCTACCCCAACCCTTGAAGAAGAAGCTAAGGTTGCCCCATCCCTCAAGGACGAAGAAACCTCTGCCCCAACCCTTCAAGAAGAAGAGAGTGTTGCCCCAACCCTAAAAGAAAAAGACAGCTTTGCCCCAAATCTTGAAGAAGAATCTGACGTTGCCCTGATCTTTGAGGAGGACTTTACTGTCTTTCCAATTGAGTCCCAAACACCAAACTGGGCTCCGCTGACCACCACAACAGGGCCCCAAGAGTCTCTGAATGATCTGAATGAAGAGTCCAGCAGAATGAACTTCCCCATCACCTCCACAGCAGCTCCAGAGTCCTCCTCGAGGACAAAGCCCCCTGCTGCTACCAGGAAGTCCACCACACACTGGTCCAGACACACTTGGAGCCCCACCACTTCAACAGCAAACATGTTCCACAAGACGGCTGAGCCCTGGAAGGTGGCAACGTTCATACCACTAGTGGATCAAGGTCTGGTGGATGTTGAGTTTAGTCTCACCCAGCCGCCCACCACTCTTATTTTGCCCAATGAGAGGGCAGCTGTAGGCGGTACATGGAGAGCTTCAGGTAATGTTAAAGTCACTCTCATCAGCCTAACCGTCCTCCTCTTGCTGCTCGACGCAATGACGCACTAAAATCCCTGATCTGTCCTCAACCTGCCTTTGCTCCATTTTCTGTGAAACACCTCCCCTCCTTTTTTCCAATGACTTCCTACGTTTGTGTCACTTGTTGTCTCAGAAAGCCCACTCACCCTTCTGACTCCTCCCGCTTCACCTTTAAAAGCTCCTCACTTCCCTCCCTGTGATCTCCCCTTTGAGATACTCACACTGGGACAGCTCCCATTTGACTGTTGTCAACACTCCTCTCTTGTTGTGCATGATGTTTTCTTACTCCTCCAGATATTGACTTCTGTGAAGTACTGTAATATACTGATATGTTCCTGGGCGTTTCAGTACTTTTTCTGCAGTGATTTTCTGCAAGAGGGATGGTTTTGGTTATTGCATTAGTAACGTTCTTCTCAGTATCTTGATTAGTATTTTATTTGCAAGTAATAAATCAATGCACCACGTGCAAATTATTCTCTTTCTAGTTACTTTGTTCTCACTTATTTGCAGTAGGCTTTTGCAATAATCTGGAAGAAACTTTTCTCTGCAATGTAACAACAGTTATGTTTACTGCAACAGCATTGATCAATGCAACAGCAATAATGGCTTATATTTAATTCATGACTGCACATTAAGTGTTGAAACTTATCTTTCCTCAGATTTTTAGACGTGTACTGCTATTTTAAACAGCAAAGGTTATTAGATTTTTAAGCACAAATGTTCTCTGTTGTTGAGTGGTAGCATTTAGAAATGTTGCTGAAGTCATGTTTTATTGTGTAGTTTTTCAGGATTCGTACTGTACCGTGTGGTGTAAGAATGCTAAAAAGTATGTGTGTTCTTTTGTCTCACCATCAGTTGATAAATCGGTTCTCAAAAGTTTTAGTCAACTGTAAACCGTTTTATTTGTTCCTACTAGTGTTGCATTGGGTCTAAGCCAATGTCTTAGAACGTAGTTATGCACAATAAGAACGTAAAGGTAAGTCCATTTTCTTTCACTAAGTCAAATGTTTTGACTCAAAGTTAGCCTTCACTTTTCACATTTGGGACACGGCATGCAGAGCTAGTGGAGATAAGTTTATTAACAGGCAAAGGACAGAAAAGGGTGTGTTTTTTAATTAGTGATTAAATATTGGACTATTTGTGTTAATGAGCGACTGGTGACTCAGCACGGTAAGACAGTGGGAAAGCCGACAATCATTTATCCAGTAATTGAAATGACTTGCCTCACATAAATTAATTTTTGTGTAATGTTTGAGAAAATTAATTAACACCCAGAAATCTTGCAGACATTTCAGCACAGAGGTCTTAGAGTTTCACAGAGGATCTTGTTGCTGTGCAAAAAGAATCAAGGTAGAGAGGCCAACTGAGTCACAGCGCAATGTTTGAATGTTGTTATACTTAACCGCGGTTGTGTATTTTTCTGCAAAACTGAGGGTTTTACTTTGAATGCACATGATTCTCTTTTGACTGTGTAAAACAGTTATTACCTTCCACATACACACAGAATGACCCAATGAAAAGGTTTAAGAGTGCAATATAATTACAGACACCACTGAGCTTGTTTATAGGTTGTCAAAGGAAGAAAATCATCCAAATCTAATTGTAAATGTTTGATTTCAGTTTGGACACAAATATCTCTATTTTACCTTCTTCACAGATGTAGAAACTTAAACTCCAAACAGTATTTTGCTTCGACTTTATACTACAAGGCTTCTTTTGAAACAACTGTCTTGTGGAAGCGTCTGTAGCTGAGAGATATTTCCTCTGTGAAGTTTAATCCTCCGTATAGAGGTTAGACAAAATAAATATACTGTTTGATTTATTCAAATGGATCGACAAAAAAACTTGATTAACGGACAAAATTCTCTTCATCTGCAATTCAATTTTTTTTCCGTATCATGGTTTGAAAACAATAACGGTCCAGTTCAAGCATTTTATAGCACACAAATGCAAAGTGTAAAACAAAGGTTAATACGGAACAGCCTATGGGAATTTCAGGGTAGATGATGAGTGAAAAAACACTGGAGAGACCCAACAACACCGTACACAAGTGTTGATTGATTGTATTAAGTGATTTTGTGAATCAAGCATGAAAAAAGAAGACGACAGGTATCAGAGAGATACTAAAGAAGACAGAAGACCTGAGTACTTTGACCTTGTGTGACACAGATGTTTGTCCTCTGCTGGCAGTTGTCTCCCGGTGCTTCAACATATCCTTTTAATGGCCTTTAGTGTGACACAAGTATCATTAGATTGGCTCCTCTTTTGATGCATCTTTTTTCATCCTGATAATTATACTTTAACACAATAACACAATAATAGGTAATGGAATACTTAAATAATACTGTGAGTATTTTCTGCAGTGTAATAACCTAAAGTTGTCTCTCTTGTTGCAGATGCCTGTGTGATCGACCCCTGTCACAATGGAGGCACCTGCACTGACCAGAACGGGCAGATTCAGTGTCTCTGTTTGCCGTCATATGCAGGAGACTTCTGTCAGACCGGTGAGCGCTCTGCTCTCCCGCTGTGGAACTTGTTTCTGTTGTTTGAAGACCTGAATACTGCGTGGTGTACAACCTGTTACGGTTTCTTGTCTCTTCTGTCTCCTCCTCGGTGCTGTTTGCAGACCTGGAGCGATGTGAGCCCGGCTGGGACAAGTTCCACGGTTTCTGCTACCGACACTTCAGCAGGCGCCTGAGCTGGGAGGTGGCAGAGCAGCACTGCCGCATGCTGGGAGCTCATCTTGTGTCCATCATCACCCCTGAGGAGCAGAGTTACATCAACAGTATGTTCATGTCCAAGACACTGCTTTGTCCTATGCAACTGTGTTTTGAGGGCTCAATATAACTGGTTCGTTTTCCTCCCAAGACAATTACAAAGAATACCAGTGGACCGGTTTGAATGATAAAACCATCGAGGGTGATTTCCGCTGGTCTGATGGCAACGTGATGGTGAGCAGTATGAGAACCCACCGGTGTGACTGACCTAAAACAAATAATTCCACTCGTATGTGTGAGGACCGAACAATTTGCTGTCCAAAACAGGTTTAATATTTAAATGAAATCAAAAATGTTAAAAGGAGTTTCCATATTTATTCAACACCTCAAGTAAAACTACGTACACAACTAAGAATTTCCAAAAGTGTTGAGCTATGTCTTTAAGGAAGCGTAGTAGAAGCTATTTTCAATAGATACTTATATTGAATATTGTCTGTATGTTACAATTTTCCTTTTTTTCCATTATTTGTGTGCCATCTTGATACAACCCTTGTATCTCACTTTCTCTTCAATTTTAAGATTCGGGAAAACAGTGAAGGCCGACTGATGGTTTAATGCCAAAAAAGTGTTATTCTAAGATTATATGTAATTTTCTTCATAGAAAATAAGGAAATAAGTGCGAAGAACCATTTTATAAACCATTTTATAGTTGTGAATTTACTTCTCCATCTTCTGATTACTATCATTTATTATTATTACTCTTGTATATCCAACGTTTCATTGTTTTCATGCTCACAGCTGTATGAGAACTGGTACATAGGGCAGCCAGACAGCTATTTCCTGTCTGGTGAAGACTGCGTGGTGATGGTGTGGCACGATGAAGGCCGATGGAGTGATGTTCCCTGCAACTACCACCTTGCTTATACCTGCAAGAAAGGAACCTGTGAGTAATACCAATCAGACAGTTAGAGCTCCTCTTTAATGGTTTTGGCTCCCTCTTGAGGATGTTTTGGGCTGTTACAGCATCATACATCAGCCCTAACGAGGACCCAACCTGCCTCAACTCTTCCAACAGCCTCCTGCGGTCCACCACCCAGAGTCCGAAACGCCTCCATCTTTGGAAAAGGCCGACAGAGATACGAGACCAACGCAGTTGTGCGCTATCACTGCGCCCAGGGTTTCCAGCAGAGACTAACTCCTCTGATCAGGTGTCTGTCTGGAGGCAGGTGGGAGAGGCCCCAGGTTCTGTGCATCCCTGGTAAGACGAATGATTATCGTAACCCTGACAGGTTAAACTATTTCTGGGAAACGTATTGAGATTCTGATGCTGTTACAGTAGAGTTCTCTTCCTGTACAATAAGTCTGATAGGAAGTTACACGGTGACTGTGACGCTGCTGATACATATAATCTGACAAGATTCTGGTGGTATACAAATTTTTCACATCAAATATCAGTGCGTCAAACGTTAAGTATCATATTCCTGTGTACCTCAGAGCTTTCCTTTTGATCAAAAACAGTTCAAATCAGCGAGCCGCACTTGTTTTTGTGACATTTTCCTTCCTCGCCATGCACATGAGCACTGCGGTGGATCTAGAAGGACGTCCTTCATTTTGCTGAACAAAGGATCCCATACTAGACTTCTTGAAATGCGAATTCACACACAGCTAAAATAATGCTGTCTAAGTAAATCCTGCTGTATGTATTAGGAAAATATATAAATCTGTATGTGGGAGCCGCTTCTCAAGATCTCCATCTTCAGGAGGAATAAATAGGCTCGGGGCAGAGTACACACAGCTGATACCCAAAGAGCAGGTATCTGTATCAGGACTTAACAAGTGCCGGTTTATTATGTTGAAAATAATAATAATTGGAGAACAATTCTTGATCAGCCTTCATAAATAATCTTTCAGAGGACGGTGGCCCAAACCAACACTCTGAAGTGACGTCAGAGACCAACGACAATTCTGCAGCCGTCGAAGATGAGTTCGATCCCACTACTGAGACGCTCCAGTACTGGGAAATCAAGTTTTAAATGTCCATGCAATGCTTTCCTTACTGGTCTTTCCTCTTAAATTCATTTTTTTAACGTGACAAGGAGCGAGGAATCAAATGCTTTTACCAATGAGCGCTTAAAAAGGGGACAATATGAACTGCAGACTCATGTAGATACAAACTGAAGCTTCCTCTCACAAAGAAGCCCGCGGCACCTTTTCTTTTGATGGAGGTAAACATTCCTACTTTTAGAATATTGTCTACTGTACCGTGGTTTAATGTAATGCTATAGAGTTTGAAATAGTTCAAAGTATAAAGACAAAGTACAGTAAATCTTCAAATGACGGTCGGCTCCAATTCTCCGGTTCACGTTGTTTGTTATGGAATCTTTTTACAAACATGGTGCTATGCTTCATTAGGAACTTTATTCTCCCAACAGAGATGTTTCTCCTGCTTTCTCTGAGAATCTAATATTTTCAAAGCACAAAGTTGATTATACAGTATTCAAGTACTGTACATACTGTGCAGTAATCCCAGGTGTGAAAGTGAATTTATTCACTTTCACACCTGGGATTACTGCTGTCCGCGTTCTCCTCAGACAAACCTTTTATTTCCAGCAGACACAGTTTTGTTCATCAGCTTTATGTTGTAATAAAGTTTTGTAGAACAGAGAAAAGAATAAATCCTTCTCATATTTTACCCATTGTACTGTGTGCGAGCTTCCTTTCATAGTCATCCGACACTCTCATAACTAAGAAAATAGGATATACTTTATATACATTTCTTTACTAATAGAAGGAGTCTGTTGTATCTAACTCTGTAAGAGTTAATGTGGCACCTAATGAGGATTTTGGTGAAATTCTATCAGAAGTGTTTACGGTCTTATATGCAATACAATTCATATATGAACTAGATTCTGCCCCTGGCGCAACTTACTCATATACTGTAGTAAAGATTAAAGGAAGCTTATACTTCGTTATTTATACGTGACTTTACATTTTTAATCTACACAACTTTTCATTTGCAATTATTGCATTTATCTGACAGCATTAGTTATTGCTTTTCGATTAAGATTATCCACATTATGTCAAACATATGGTTAGTTTATACAGTATGCATTGTTTTAGAAGAACCCAATAGTACATGCATTTGTTCGCTTGATAACAATTGATTCTGCTTAAACACTAATGAAGAACAATGCATTTACTCAATGTCACTCTTTGAGTGGGGTGTAATGAGTATGTCTACTTTTGCCGTTAATACTCATTTTTGTTTTGCATTTTAGTTTTGAATGGAGGAGATGGACTATTTTAAACCATCATAGTAATTCTTAATGTCACTAATTTATTTATTTATGCTTTTCAGATGATACAATTTCTATAAACTACTCAGTCATGTTGTATTATACAATCAGCAACTCAGCATCAGTTGTATTATGTATCAGCAACTCCAAACAGGGAACAAACAAAGGTAAAAAAAAAACCTTTGTGATCATTCTGTAACTGCATTAAAATTTGAAAAACTGAAAAACTATTACCCTAATTTGGTAAATAATACGTGTAGTTGTCATTTTAATGAATATTTTGATTCTGATGAGGATTTTAAATGTCTGAGCATCAAGGAACAACAATAACAAAAATGTGTCAGGTGATCAACGTGAACGTGAGCACGTGTGAGCCGTAAGCAGCAGAAAAGATTCGTCACAGTTCTGTCACCCAGACCAGAAATTGGGGAAAAATCACTTTTTGTGGCCCAAACAATGTCAAAATGACCGTATATAAGTACCTTGCATTATTTTAACTCTGTTTAAATGAAAGGTTTAGGGTCCCGTCAAATTAACCTTGCAGTGCTCGTGAATGTGAAAGCTGAAGAAACGGTCATTCTGCCACCAGGTGGCCTCCGCGGTCCACGATTTGTTGCATCTGCAGGAAACTGATGGCAAAACGTCAGGGAACAGTTTGTTTGTTTTAGAATCTGAGCCCTGACTGAACATTTCGATCACTGACAGGTTAAGAGAAGAAACATATGAAGGTGTTACTGAGAAGTGTGTGGCAGATACATGTTCGCCACCTCTGTTTCTTCAGTACTATACTAGCATTATTATTCTTGTGCATTATGTATTATTAAGGGACACAATCAGGTTAGTACAAATGCCAACCCTTTGCTCTACATATTTCCCAACTTCCTTTCTGAATAGTTCTAAACTCCATTTATTAAATATAGGGGTTGTTTTTTGGTCAGCGGAGGAAATCAATGAGATAATTGGGGGGTGCATGAGAATAATCTGTCGGGTAACACAAAGATGAGCAACATACATTGCTCCATTTGATTGTAGATTTCAGTATTTGTAATATTCGTGATTGCAAGGGCTTTGGAGATATATTTCTTGTCTCAAACTGAGCGAGATTGTATTATTACGCCTGGTGCAGTGGTGAAGAAGTCTTTAATGTATTTACCTAGTAGTTGGAACAAAAAAAGTACTAATTATGCAGAAATTTCAACATCAGAATAAATTATTTCCAGATGAATAATACATAAAGAAAATCAATAAATCAGCTATAGTTTAAGTCATTAAACTATTGTGGCGAAGTAAAAGTAGCTGAAAATGGAAAATGTTTGAGTTTCTCAGAATTGAATGAGGGCAGTTCTGTAGGAAATATCCTGGGTTTTCTTCCATCACTGCTTTGGTGTAATATTGTAATCATCTAATAGGATCAGGATCAGCTTTAGACTGGCCAAAAGCCTTCCCATCGTTAAAATGGTGTTTGTGCACTTGCCGTAGTGCAGAATTCCAAAACATGAGAGCAGTTTCACATGATGGCTTAATGGCACATTCCCAGCAATGTGCCATTAAGCAAGGCTTCTCCCCTAAAATGGACCCCCATTAGTGCTGGTCATTGGCCAAAAATACAGGATTATAGATGCTCCAGGCACCCTGGTGTGCAGTATATGTGTGCAACCTTTCTTCCTTCGGGTCCAGTGCAATTAAAAAAGACTGATCCACATTTTGAACCTGATCAGAGGGTAAAGGTGAATTCATGAAGCTGGGCGGATGCTCACAGAGGTGTTGGAGCCGCACCCCCCGTTCTCAGGCAATCAATAGCGTCACGCAGCTCAGGCTGAATGCAGAGGGTTGCTGTCCGTTCTCTTAGTCATAGAGCCGATAACACAGCCCCAGATGGGAGTGTATTGTGGCCTGTGACCCAGAGGTCACGGGGTCAGAGCAGAATGAACAGAGGCCAGTCGTTAAGGACTCCTCACGGAGTTCCTCTTTCTTCCAAAAGACGCGTGGCTCACTAATTGAGGGCCCACCTCTCAAGACCCCAAGTGTGAGGCCCTTGACACCCTGAAATGACCGGTGGTGTGAACTGCAGGGTGAGGAGTGAGGTGCAGGAAATGAAAAGGAGGGAGCAATGATTATGTTGTTAGACCAGCATCACCATTGAATTTTGTCATTATGGAGTATTTAATTAATGATTTTGTTTGATTTAATGGGTTGGTTTTAAAATGTCTTACCTATACTGATATATTTAGTCATACATGTATGTATATATATATATATATATATATATACAGTCAGACACTTTTATTGATTATACTTTGGTGTCCGTTCATGGGTTTTTTTAACAGAAAAATGGCACCGAGTTGAGAAAATTTGCATTTTAACTTGAAATATCATCCCAATGTTTAATTTCAATTTTCTTGAAAACGTCCGTCTATGTTTATTTAAATGAAGTGTGTTTTCCCGCCTAAAACAAACTTTTTCATAAAAGACCTTTTATCAACTGAAAAACAAAAACTTGTTAGTTTCTTGCACACGGTTCCATCTAAGGTCACCGTGCCCCGATATCGAGAGATTTCTATACAGGAACCGGACAAAGATGTTTGAATGAACATACTGTATGTTATAATTGGAATACAGTGCAACCCTTCACGAGATGTGTTAGACCGCACAATGAAGAGAGACAGCGGGGTGAGGGGACGTTGCAAAGGCGTGCCAAGTTGGCTGGGAACCTCGACAGTGAGCTTTACCCACAACCCTTCACCCCACCGCCAACGCTCACTGGGACACAAACAACCTTTGATGCTTCTCCCTCACTTGTGATTAAGACAAAACACAAAGTGTTTCGTGGTTTTGGGGTCCCGACTTCCTTCCTGGTCTTACTACATGCGACATGCAGGTATACGCTGGCTGGTTGTTTGTGCGGCTTTAGGGATTCTACACAGACGCAGGAGGAGTGGATTTTGAGAAAACGCGTGTTGTTTACTTTAAAATATTTAACCCAGTGATTTAATGGTGGAATAAGTTATTCTACTGTTCACCAGCTTCTCCACAAAAACTGTAATTAGAAAAGAGAGCAAACACGATAAGATATGCAGTTTATTTTGCTGCGTTTTCTCCTTTATCATTTGTAATATCAGATATTGTAAATCATTAATATACGTACTTCTGCTCCCCTTCTACCTTTTGCACAGTTTTTTGTTGTTGTTTAAATTACATTATTTCTTGAATCAGGTTCAGTCTGTAGTATCCTGTAATAGCTGCTCTAGACAGCTATAATGATACTGTACACATGGAAAATCTCATCATTATATATCAGCTGAGGGAAGGAAACATTTCATTCTCGTCACTTTATGGAACCATAAAACCATCTCACAACACCAAATACCTCATGTTGTTGTGATGAAGAGTACAGATCCTCGTATCCATTTCATACGCACACTGTTTATACAATTGGGAGTGCTGTGTTTAAAAAGTGAGTGCATGTGGAAGCTGCAGCAGCTGTATCGGTTTCTCAGCGTGACAGAAAGTGTGGGCTGCCTGCAGCGCGGCAGCTCAGCTTTCAGATCAGCTCCACTGATATAATGGGTTCTTTAATCCGAGCCAATTAGACCCACAGGGCACGGGGAGTGGCTGTTTTCACACTGCAGCAATTTGCACTGGGGGGTGGGAGGACTGATCGACAGGCGGCCGTGTGAAAACAGAGAGACAAATAGGTTATAATTTGAACCCACGGAGAGGCAATATGGAGGACGCAGCCTGCATGGGAAACTGTCTGTGGGAGTGTACTCATTCAGGAGCAGGTGATCAAAAACCAATGAGATCAGTGAACCACTTGGACCATTAAAACAAAAAATAATGCATATTGCAAAGAATCGGCCATGTATGTTCTCATGTCATGAGTTCCACATGTGTGTGTTGAGACAATAAGCAGTGAACATTTGGATGTGTTAATGGGCTGAAAGCAATGTGGACAATGAGGGTTTTCTTATATAATATTAGGAAACAAGGTTCTTCTACATCTCTTAAAATGTTTTCATCACCCCTCAGCTTCACCTGACTGCAGGTTGCAGGTCGGTAAACTCTTGCTTGAAATGTTAGGAGTTAAGCTCAAGTCCTTAATATTTTTGTTATTGTTACTGTTTCAGATACTATTGAAGGTCTTTACTTGGATTACGAATTTTCTATTAAAGCAGAAAACCAAGTAGAATTACTCTGCCATGAACTACAGCATTTCTTTTAATATATATATATATATATATATATGAAAACCTCATAATCCTAGTAGTGACATTTTACTGCCATTTGGTGTCAGGAGTTGATTTGGAGACGGGTTCAACGTCTCGATGTCGGACCCTCCGCCCCTGATGCGCTGCAAAGCTCCAGCTGGGGGTGCTCTGAACCGGAGCTGTTCCAACTGTA